TTGTTTGTAGCGTATTTTCAATTCAGCCTTCAAATTGTTTAGTTGAGCCTTTCTGGAATTCATCACGGTTTTGATATTTTCTAATTCTTTATCAATATTATTGCGATTGATATTGATGAACTCCTTATATATTATATGATTCTGTTTGAATTCTGCATATGAATGATTCATCTCCTCATATTTTCTAGTAATCATGTCATGTTGATCTTGTAGGGTTTTTAGATTCAGGTTTGGTTTGATATTTGCCAGGTTCTCTTTATGCTTATTGTATTCAACTGACAATTCGTTCATTAACTTGGCCCGTTCCATTGTCAAGTTAATGTCTATGCTTCTTCTAAGCCTTTCTGTTTCTTGTTTGTGATTATTTATCTCTTCATCACGCAATACAATTTCGTGCAACTTCTTAAAATATTGATCAGTAATTTCCTTTCCAGTACACAGTATACACGCCTTTGTTTCTCCGCTATAAATCATGTTCTTCTCCAATACCTCAACCATTGCCTCATTTTGTATAATTCTCTTTTGAATACTTTCAAAATCAGCAAATATCCACCCTATCTGATATTTGGCAGGTGCAATATTCCGAAATCTATTTGCTAGACTATTCATCCTTTCGGTTAATTCTGCTTCCTTTTCTTTGATCTTCTTATTTTCATAAGCTGCTACATTCATTTCTGTTTCTTTTGCTTTCATTTCTCTTGTTAATTGTGCTATCTTCATTTCTAGTTGATTAAGGTGTTCCATAACAACTTCTTCATTCAAATCCGCTCTACTAATCATTTTGCACAGAATATTGTATGCCTTGTCAAATCGTAATATTTCACCTGCATTCTCTGACATAGATCGTTGCTCCAATATCTTTCTATATGACACATCTAGAATGTCCAAACCACTTTCAACATCTTCTATTTCCTTCTCTATATTGTATACCTCATTTTCAACATTCAAAATGTTTTCCTTATCAATACTTATGCTTAATAAGTCTTCGTGTTTCTTGATGTATTCTTGTGCTTCTTTTACATGATACTCTGCTTGTCTGCACTTATTCAGTTCCATTTGCCACTCTCCTCTGCTCCTTTTTAGCTCTTCTAACCTTGTTTTGTATTCACTTTGCTTGGTTTTAAGCTTTTTTGATATCTCTATAAGAGTTATTTCAGGCAGTGATTCAATATCATTCTCATTACACCATTGAATGATTTCATCTCTTTTCCTTTCATAGTTTCTTGTTGTTTCGCCATAGCCTTCTATTCTTTTCTCATCTTCCTCGTACTTCTCCTTGGCTCTTGAAATATTCTTGAATTGCACCTCTTTAAAAACCAATTCATGTTCCATTTCCTTAATTCTACTATTGTTTAAGTTTCTTTGCTTCTCATTTATCAACCTAATGATTTCTTCAATTTCATTCATCAGATTCCTGTTATCAATCAGGTCTTTCATCTCCGGATGCTCATTTACACACTGTTTTGCTCCATCTAACTCGTTTTTAATTGAATTGTACTCTTTCTCTAACTGCATAAACGTGTGTTCTTTTTCTTTTAAGTCTTTTAAGCTTAATTCCATGAGTTTTGTTTCTTCAGTCATCTTTTCCAATTTCTCTACTTTTTCAATTATCGTGGCCGTGAGTTCAGTTAATTTGTTAGCCAGATCCTCTTTCTTGATCTTATTCTTCTGCACGTAACTCAAACAGGTTTTCTTGTGCTTATGTTTTTCCTCAATCTCTTTCTTAGCTGCTTTAAGCTGTAACAATGCTTTATTGTATTTTTCACTAGCAAATATTTCATCAAGCTTCTTCTTTAACACAGTTGGATCACCAACAGGCCAGGTTGCTTCCTCCTGATGGCAAAACAGCACATTTTGCAAAATGCTAGGAGCCGTTTCCATATACAGGCTGACCAGATTGTCAACATCATTTCCTCTGCTGGACAAGATATTCTTTTTATCATCATCAACACGTGCTAAATGCACGTCAATGGTCTTCATCTCATTCTTGTTTGCTTTTTGTGTTGAATTTATTACACGCATGACTTCATACAAAATGCCATTTTTGTCTTCGAATTGCAACGCAACTGATGCCTTTACATCCAATTCACCAATGGATCTTGGATCGCATATGAATGCAGCATTCTTAGAGTTCGGTGGCACATCTCCTGTTGTTAGGTATTTAAGTGCCTCAATGATCGTAGTTTTGCCAGTGCCGTTCTTCCCAACAATCAGGGTGAGTATTCCATCGAATTCAATTATGTTTGTCCTCGTGTAGTTGAATGCCCTGATTCCTTTGATAGAAAGCCTTTTTAACTTCGTCATGAGGTTAAAAATTTGCTGATTTTCCGCCCATGACGAAAATTATATCAGACAGCAGTTCTGTAGATGTGAAAATAAGCAAAGAAAAAGAAGATTTTGTAGCAAAAAGCAAACCAAAGATAAAAAAGAAGCAGCATGCAGCAAAAAACCTAGAAGACAGAAACACTGTGTTGATAAAGAAAAATAAAGCAAAGAAAGAAGACATAAAAGTAAGAGCAAAGCAGGTTGTGGAACTGATGAAAGAATCATACAATAAGGACCTAAATAGACCAAAAGAATTATATAAACTAGAAAAGCTGGACAATATGGATGAAATAACGCGTCAGGTACTCAATACAGATTTACAAGAATATTGCATTGAGAATGGTGTACTGAATCAAATACGAATTTGGTTGGAGCCGATGCCTGATAAATCATTACCGAATATTGCAGTTAAGAAGAAGATGCTTGACTTGCTATTCAACATGCGCTATATCACCAAGAACAATTTACTTGATTCACAAGTTGGTAAAATAGTACATTTTTACGCTAGAAATGCAAAGGAGGGAATAGAAGTGAGAAGAATGGCAAAGAACCTGATGACAAAGTGGAAGGGTATGATTCTACACGAAGAACAGGAGGAATAAGATAAATTCGATTTGTTGAACAACCCTGAATCTTTCAAATGCATAAAATCAATTAAGCTTAAAAAGCATAAAAGAAAATACAATCTGGAAACAACCCTTGTTGACCATGAATAGAATCACTCTACAGGACCTTACTCATTCCTACTAAGCACCTTAAGCAACTCATAGAATGTATGGAGTGGCCTTGCGGTTGCTCCCTTCCCATAGATTTCCTTTAGAACTCCATTGCACATCAGCCCAGCAATGTCAAAATGTCCCCATTTGACATCATTTTCAACAAAATGCTTCAGGAATTCACCAGCCACAATCGACCCAGCCGTTCTGTCGCCTATGTTGTTGAAATCGGCCACATTTGATTTCAACTGATCTGCGTAATACTTCGACATCGGTAGTCTCCACAGCATCTCATCGCTCAAATTTGCTGCCGTGCTAATCTTCTCATGTAATTCATCTGAATTCGTCATGTATCCAGAATACACGCTTCCCAGTGCCACTACCATTGCACCAGTCAACGTCGCTGCATCCAGAAGGAATTCTGGCTTCAAACCGTACTTTAACTGGGCATAGCACATTGCATCACCCAAAATGAGACGGCCTTCTGCGTCTGTGTTTCCAACCTCGACACTTTTCCCATTCATTGCCTTAAAAATGTCACCTGGGTTTGTTGCCTTTGATCCAGGCATATTCTCCACCAGTGGAATTGTACAGGTTGCATTAATTGGCAATTTCTGAAGTGCTGCCAAATAGAAAGACATCAAAAGTGTTGATGCTCCCATCATATCGTACTTCATTTCGTGCATGTTCAATGATGGTTTTAGGCTGATTCCACCTGTGTCAAATACGACACCTTTTCCAACCATGGCAACCTTGTGGTTGTTCACATTTGAATTACCAGTGTACTTTATTGTCAGCAACTTTGATCGCTCTGCTGATCCATTTCCAACTGAAAGCATCACATTCATCCCCAATTCCCTGCATTGCTCCTCTTCAAGCACATTCAGCTCCACATTCTCAACACCATCGAATATCTGGGCTGCATATTCGCAAAATGTCGTTGGAGTACACAAATTGGAAGGCGTGTCTCCTAGGAATCTCGCAATGTTCTGGGCCCTGGCGACTTCTGCAATTTCTTCAAATTCCTTTGGAACCTCGAGATGGAGGCTGATTTTGGTCTCATCCTCCTTTGGTTTCAATAGGAAATCGTATTTGTACGATGCGATGATGAATCCAAAATAGGCAGAATGAACATGATCAAACGCAACGAACCTGATTCGGCTGCAATTGTTGTAAGTCGAAATGTGCTCGTAGAGTGTGCCCATTGCCTTCTGAACTCCCCAAGCCTTGGATTCTTCCTTGTCCAATTCACCTAGACAGAAGTACAGCGTCGTCTGGCTACCTTCTGTTTTCTCAAATTTTTCACCTGACTTTCCAAATGCCCTGAATTCGCCTGGTAGTCGCGATTCATTGCCGAGTAGAACCATTTCAGCATCAACCTTGGAGTAGAATTCAACCACTACGGTCTTATCAGTCTTCTCGTTTGACTGTATTTTGTTTGTCAATTTGTTGAAATCAAGTAACATAAAGAGGGTAAAAATGTGATATTTATGCAGTGATGAATCTGTGATAGATCAAAGTGGATGCTGATGGTCGTAGATTGTAATCAACAATGAGCATTTTCATGATGAATTCCCTACAATCTGATGAAATGTGATCAGGAAATGACAGTGGAATTGGACTGTTTCTATTGACTAGGTGTCTCTTACTGTATCTATATCCAAAATGGCCATGAAGGTGCTGTTTCAATTTGTGCATTCCGTATCCATCACGCTTATCAAAGAAACATAACTGATAAAGTAACAATCCAAGGCTCCAAATGTCACTTTTGGTTGTAAAATAGCCGTGATATGCGCATTCAGGTGGTAGAAACCAGTACATATACATTGTATGACACTGTCTATGACCGATTATATTTGGTACGGCTAAATCCAGGTCAATCAATTTCCAAGTAACTTTGTCGTCATTGACTACGCCCATTATGTTATTGTTTTTGATATCCGTATGAATTAAATTGGCATAATTGATATTGCTGATTCCCAATAAAACATCTTTGGCTAGTTTTTTGATACCTTCTTCACATTGTCTAATTGTATGAACGGATGCAATGAAACTTAGCTTCTCCTGTAACAAAAAGCTCACATTAATCTCACTTGATACTTCGGTAATATCTTCCTGATGAATTAATTTCATTTTGACTGTCTTATGGTTGTACAATTTAACAACGTGATCTGATCGAATTCTACTCAATTTCTCACTTTCTAGTCCCATATCCAAATCAAGTATACCAATTTTAAGGCAATACATGTCATTGCAGTATATTAGTGATTTTGGTGTCTCAAACACTTTAGTATACCCCAATCTATGCAATATCTGATCAATATTGGTATAATTTTTATAGGTGAAAATTGCACAAATATCCTGTACTACAGAATTGAAATCCAAAGCATTCTCGAGTCTCCTTGTGGATCTATTAACATCACGGTTTCCTAGGAATTGTGTTCGAGGAACAATTCGAACTTGATGTGTTATTGCTGGATTCTCTTGTGAGGCCCAATTTCGTCTCATTTCTGCCAATGTTGGATAATTGAATACACGTGGGTTAATACGATGATGTACGTTTGGATTATGAGGAGGTATCGGATTGTGATTGGATCTTGCTGATAAAATTGTCCTAAACATCACATTGATCATAATATGATTAGTGTAAAACATGGTTGATATTAACAAATACATATTTGTTTTATAGCAAAATAAACAATAAAATTGATCAAACATAATAGTATGGAATATTGATTTTATTAAGGTAATATTGATTAATAACACTATATTTACACATCTTTAATTCTTTAGGAATCTGTGAGAAAGCATTTCATAAGCACTTGGTCTCTTATCATAATCAACAATCAACATTTTGTTGATGAAATCCTTGCAACTTTCTGAAATATCATCAGGATATTCGATCAATATTCTGCTTGTTAGATCCACCTTTCTGATATTCAAGTATCTGTATCCAAAATGTGATTTCAGCTGTCTCTTCAAGCTATTTCGAACCATTGCTTCTTTTCTATTGAAAAATAACAGTTGATAAAGCAGAATTCCTACACTCCATACATCACCCTGTTCTGTGAATATCCTTTTCAATGCATATTCAGGTGGAAAGAACCAGTGATTTAAACACCACGATCCAAGGCATTTGTACATTCCAAAATGCGTTTTACAGGCTACATCAAGATCAATCAATTTCCAAACTATTCTTCCATTTTCATTTCGTCCCATTACGTTGTTCATTTTGATATCAGTATGAACCAGATGATACATGTGCAGATCTGCTACTCCTTGCAACAAATCGCGTGCAAAAATTCTGACATCATTTTCTGACTTGATCATGTTTCGTGATGAAATAAATTCTAATTTTTCTAGTAGCATAAAGCATACTGTGTGATTATCCTCGTACTTTCTTTGATTATACGTAGTTTGCGGTCTCTTTACATCACATATTTCAAAACAATATTGCCTTAATACATGATCACTTTTCACCATTGATAACATGAGTGGTTCTAGTTCTGTGCTCCTTGGTGCAATATTAATCTTTAAACAGAAACAGCTACTTACATAAATTGCTGTCTTTTTGTGCTTAGTCACTAGAATGAATCCATGACGCATCAGATATTTCTTCATAGCCGTATCATCCTTTTTCTTCATATATTTTATCAGTGTTTTAACCAATTCCCTGAACACCTTTGGATTCTTGAAATCCAATTCAAGGATCTGTTCAGTGTATTCAGTATATGTAGTTGTTGTTTTGGTTCTTTTGATTATTGGTCTTGTTAACCCATCCAAATAATTAATATTGCTCTCTGATTTCATAATTGCACATTTCTTTTCTACTGTAAAGTCGTATTTTGACTTTTTACATAATCTTTTTGATATGGTCTCACCTTCAAGGAGTAAATGGCCACTATTTTCATTCTCTGTATCGCTCTGTAACACCAAACAACATTCAGGTTGTGATAAAATTGCATCTGACCCACCACAGCAAGCTTTCCTCTTTTTTCTTCCTTCTACTGGTGTTAGACAATTATTATGATATCTTGCATGTTCAGGATTAGATATTTCTGCGCTTAAACTATCATTATTTATCGCAGCACTTACAATCAATAATTGATCAAAGAAATACATGGCTATGTTAAGTTTATCAAATAAATAAACAATCATTATTTGTTGATGATATTGATGTCTATACTTATTAAACACAAATAATTATAGGCTTGATCGTCAATCTCTGCTATTTTACTATAAAATTATACAAAAAACATTAGGGTAACTAAAGCATTCAAAATCCATACCATCAATTCATTTACAGCTTTTTATTCATTCAAGAATTCGTGTCGTAGCATTTCCAGTGCCGTTGGTCTATTCTGAAAATCAGCAGTTAACATTTGATCAATAAAATTTCTAAGCGAATCCGAGCAGTTTTCTGGATATACGAGTGGTATTTTCTCTCTTAAATTGACTTTCAAACAATTGGTGTATCGATATCCAAAATGAAAACCCAATTGCATCTTCAGTACCTTTCTAACCTTACTATCACTTTTCTCAGGGTATAACATTTGATAAAGCAGCAATCCCAAACTCCATACATCACCTACAGCTGTGAATATATCACTTATGGCATATTCAGGTGGTAGAAACCAATACGGTAAACACCATGGCTCTTTGCATTTGAATAATCCAAATTTGGTATTGCATGCAATATCCAGATCAATCAGTTTCCAGGTAGGTTTACCATGTTCATCCATTTTACACATTACGTTATTGCATTTGATATCAGTGTGCGTTATATCTACCTTATGTAGATCAACCAACCCTCGTAGGACATCCCTTGCAACTATTCTTATATCATCCTCTGTTTTGATCATTTCTCGCGATACAATGAAATCGAGTTTTTCCAGTAGCATAAATGCCACGATATAATCTTCTGATTCTGCTTGCTCTGCTTCATCACTGTATTTTATTGTGTAGATTTCATAACAGATCATTTTTATCACATGTTTGCTCTTCACTTTTTCAAGCATATGCGGTTCTATTCCTTTATCTCGTGTTGCAACATTGATTTTTAGGCAATGATTTTCACTTACATAGATTTGTGTTTTTTCAGATACAACAACTTCTGAGAAACCATATCCCTTGAGATACTTCTTAACTATATCTGTTTCAGAGTTTTTGATGTATTCTAGCAATTTACGAACCATTTTCTCAAACTCTTTTTGATTAGTTAAATCAGGTTTACCTGATTTCTTAGTGAATTCTGTGTACGCAATGATGGTTTCGCTTTGTTTAAATGGCACCTTTTTAATTGTTTTGGGTGGATCTTGTAAGCAAATTATTCCATCAGTCTCAGTAGTATTTGGTCTCTGCCCTGCATTATCATAAAAACCAGGTGGTGTATCCAAGTTATTGCAAGGCGGTTTTACATTATCATAAAAGCCAGGCGGTGTTTTTAGATCATTGCAAGTATTCGATGATTCGGTTGAGAATGAAATGCTATCAAGTTCATCAATTGCTTTCTCCAATTCATCTTGTTTCAAGGATAAAGAAATTTGACTCAAAGCCCTTTGCAATTGAGGCCTGTTTCTTTCATTATTTAGTTCGCCTCTTCCATCTAAAAGATCACTCGTGTGCTGCACACTCGAATCAGTCAATTCTTCTTTATCATTTAACTCAGCAGCGAATATTCCGCTTATGATCAATGTGATATCACCAAGCATGTTTATTGATCAAGTTAATTTTTGATAAATAAATAATAAATAAAATGCGCAGATCTTAATCATTTATAAACTATGTGAATGCTAATCATTTTACACCTTTGAAACCTAAAATAAGTCGAAAGAAAGTTCAATATATTAAAAATCAAAATAAACAAAATAAGGAAATGCCTTCTACAGTGGATATCAAAAACAATCTAATTTTGTTAAGTTATAGTATGTTGACGGGTGAATAACGTGCTTTCAGTAAACTAATACAACACTCAAATCATTCCTGAACCTTATTCCACAGTCATGCTATTTATTCTTCTGCTTTATCAAGCAATTTCATAGATGAATCCTTTGTCAAATCGCTTATTCAATATTCCATTCCTCACATAAATATTCAGAATTTCAATTGTCTTGTACTTGCTCAATTTGGTCACTTTAACAATGTCATCGAGTTTGAGTTGTTTGTTCTCGCTCACAAGTGCCAACAATCCTTTGGCTTTGATTTTTATCTTGCTGGTTTCATTAGCAAACATCTTTTCAAAATTAGTTGGTAGATTTTGTTTTTCAGGTGCTGTTATTCTGAAAGAATCCACTTTCTTGAATTTGTTCACTTTTATTGCTGTTTCGTCGTATGAGTATGCGTCTATTGCATCTAGCAATGCCTTTATCTTGAAATTGTATGACTTAAGCTTGTTTGTGTGATTTCTTGCTTCTTCTGTTTTCTCTTTTATTCTTAGAGAGACTTCCGCTATTTCACAGAGTAGCATCTTCTCTTTGCTTGTCATCTCGTGTTCGTCTACTTCTGCTCCGCTGCTGAATGTGGTCTCGTTTGCTGTCATGTTATAAGGGCAAACAGAACATTTTTTAGAAACAACCTTGGTTGAACAAACAAAATCAATCAGTTAAGCTTATTTTGCATAAATATTTCATGCATTATGAACCCCACACATGCAGCTTGAAAAAATTGAATTAAGAAATTTCAAGAGCTATAGCGGAAACTACACAGTTGGTCCATTTGATAAGTTTACGTGTATCGTAGGGCCAAATGGATCAGGTAAGAGCAACATTCTAGATGGAATCACGTTTGCCACGAATGTGAGCATAAATTTCCTAAGGGTGAAACGTGCTGCTGAGTTGGTCTCCAATGGATTTACAGAGTGCGAGGTTAAACTACACATAACATCCAGCGAGAAGCACAGGGTTTTCTCCAGATCATACAGTTGTATCAATCAGACATACACTTACAAAATTAACGAAAAAGTTGTTCAGAGTGCAATCTACACAAAAGAACTGGAAAAAATCAACATCTTTGCTAAAATACGCAATTTCATAATTTATCAGGGCGTATTGCTGAATGAGAATGTAGATTTGTTCAATGTGATTGAGAAAATTAGCAATTCTGTAATGTACAAGGACGAATATGAAAAACTTAAGGCAAATCACCTAGCATGTTCCAAATTGCTGCAGCAGAAGCATGAGAAGAAGAAAGACATCATGAATGACATGAACGAGATGAATGAAGCCAAGGATAAAGAAAGAAGGTTCCTGAAAAATATGCAAGAACAAGAAGAGCTTACGAAGAAATGCTACGTACTGGAAACAAAAATCAAGGAGAATGAGCTTAAAAAGTTGGGTGTTGAATTTGATGATATTTCAAAGAGAATGTGCTCACTTAAGGAAGATTCAGAGTACAAGCGGGTTAAAGAAGATGTTTCCGATATGAAAAAGCAGGTTGCAAAAGAATACAAGGAATTTTATGAAATTGATACTGAAATAAAGTGTATCAGAGAAGCAGGGAACAAAGAAACAGGTGAATTAGAAGAATTGGAAAAGGAGAAGACACTTCTACAAAAATCAATAGAAAAACTCAGGTCACCCATTGATTATGAAGAATACTGTTGCGATGAAGAAGACAAAAGGCAACAATTTGAAGATGATTTGTTTGTGGCAATGGAGGAATACAATAAAGAAACGGCAGAAGAGCAGAAAGAAGAGTGTAAATTGACACTGGATAACTATGAAAGAATAAGCAGAAAGGAAGAGTTGCTCAATGAGATCAAGAAATTCAATGAAAAGAAAAACAAGATGGAAAAAGAGAACAAATCTGTGGAACAAAACAACAAACTTAAGAAAGAAGCAAAGATAAAGATAGACAAAATATTGGAAGAGTTGAGGGAAAAAGCAACACCTGAGGCACTAAATCAGCTACAGAAATTGGAAGAAGACATGAAGAAAAGAGAATCAGAATTGAATCAATTCACCAAAGAGATTCTGATTCACAAAGCGAAGTTCAATATCAGCAAAAATGAGATATTTGTATCAGGTGTAATAGAAAACCTGAAAGCAATCAATGGGGGTGTTTATGGCAAAATATCAAAATTGATTCAACCAACACAGGAGTGTTATGAAGTGCCAGTTTCAGTGCTAATTGCAAAATACGACAACACGGTGGTGGTAGAAAATGAGAAAACTGCTATAGAATGCATTAATTATCTCAAGGAAACAAAATCATGTAAGTTAACATTTCTATGCCTGGATAGGTTTACAAGCACAGGATACAGAAATGGAGCATATGGTGAGATATGTATGGATCCAATGGATTGTGTTGCATATGAAAACAGATATGTTGGGATAGTAGAACATATTTTCAAGGATAAGGCAATTATCACTACAGAAAACATAGAAGAATTCCAGAATAATTTCAAGGCAATTTGCACTACAAATGGATCATATTACCAGCGTTCTGGTCTAATCACAGGTGGAAGTAACAAAATCAATAAGTATGAAGAGAATCTTGTAGAAGAACTGTCTGCAAAAAGAACACGAGTCTTGAATGAAATCAAGGGAATTAAGAACAAGAAGGAATCATTTACAGGAATCAACATCTACATGGACAAGATACGTGAATTAGAGAAGAAAAAGGAAACCTACACTTTTGAAAAAGAGACCAATATTGAAATTGCAATGGAGAAAGAACTTGAGAGATTGAAAGTGGTAAATGAAGAACTAAGCAACTTAAATGTGCTGTTGCAGGATTACGAGATGGCTAAGCAATTTATTAGAGAGACATTTCGAGTCAAAGAGAAAAAGACATTGGCTCCAATATTAAACAAAATAGGCGTGGAAACGTACGAGGAGTATAAAGCAAAAATACAGGATGAGGAGAAGAGAATTGATCTAACAGAGAACCTGAAAAATATTGAGACAAAAATAGCCAATTTAACAACAAATGACAATGACAACGACAAAACAGAGAGTGAAGACAAATACGTTCAAATATTCAATTTGAATAAGAAACAAGTGGAAATACAAAATAAGTTGGAGCAATCTAAACAGATTCTACGAATGAAGAATGCGACATATACAGAATCAACCAGAAAAATTGATGATTTGAACAAGAAAATGATGAACAACACTCTGACCAGGACAAAATATGCAGAAGAAATCAAGGACCTGATTGGATTCTGTGTTCTTGAAACCAATTTGCAGAATGAAGATGAAATAACTAATGAATACAATAAGATAGCAATAACAGGCGTAAACATCATCAATCTGCTCAATGATTTAAAAAGCAGTAAGTACAAGGTACAGCAAGAGCTGCAAGCTAATGTTCCACTGGGTTTGATGCAGAATGATACACTTCAATCAAAGTATTTGAAATTCAATAGGGAATATGAATTTGCAAAGAATGCGGCACAACAGGCCAAGGCACACTTTAATGAAATAGCTGTGCATAGAAAAAGGCTATTTGATCAGTATTTTGAGACACTGCAGAGACAAATCAACAGTGTTTACAAGAAGTTGGCCTATTCGCTTGAATTTGATACTGAAATTCACGAAGTTGGCAAAGTTGTGTTAGAAGGAGATCCATTTGCTGCTAAAAATGCCATCAAATTCTACGTGATGCCACCTAACAAGGGATACACTGAATTCAGGGACTTAAGTGGTGGTGAGAAGTCACTTGCGATTCTCTCATTCATTTTTGCAATTCAAAAGGTTCCGCCTTTCTACGTTTTGGACGAGGTGGATACAGCATTGGACAGGGACAATGTCCAGAGACTCGCCAATTTCATCACAAATGAAACAAATGGCGTCGAGGACGAGAAACAGTTTCTGGTGATCAGTCTCAAGGACTATTTCTTCAAGAATGCTGAATCACTGGTTGGCGTATACAAGGATCAGACTGAAAACAGATCCAAAATATTAACATACAAGTTTGTATAAGAAATAATCAATAAAATAGGAGTATCAAACCAGGTCATTTCTTGTTGCTGTCAATTTGTAGACACTTTTTGATGGCGATACGTCCCTAACAAATGTGACAGTTGGATTTGATACGCCTGTTTTGATACGCACCAAATCAATTGAATTTTCGTTCTTTCTAACAAAGAAATAGGCGTGTAATGTAAACTGATGACTGAATTGTCTCAAATGTTTCACATACTCCAATGAATATTCAGGTAGATTGAATATAAAATGATCAATTGGAATATCAGTCAGTTGGCTGAGATAGAGACTAGCATCCTGGTTACTAATGAATATTCTGCTTGAATGGACAGTATTAAGATCACTCTCATTCATTTCAGTACATGCAATTTGGTTGAGTTTGGCTGATTTCTTAAGACATGAAATTGCTGCTGAATTCAGGTCATTTGCGTAAACAACACAACCTGCTTTAGCCAATGGGAGCGCATGTGGGCCTACACCACAAAAGCAATCGCAAATAATTTGATTGCTACCACCCTGCAATATTTCACTAATCAATTTGCTCCTTTCACCTTGTAATCTCGAGCACCAATAGACACTCTTCAGGTCTACTACCATTTTGATGCCATTCTCTAACACAATTGTTTCCATGGCATCTCTATCATCTCCTTGGAGCACTTCTAGTTCATAATTCCTGTACACGTTGTCAATTTTCCCTGTTTTATTTACAACTGTTTTCCCTGTTTTATTGTGTAGAATAAATCCAATGATCTCCTTATATTTGGCTTGTTCTTCATTCAAATTGAGATGAATTACGTCACCAACTACCTCATATGCACCAACACGTGCATTTTCAGGCAGAAACACCTTAAACAATTCATCGTAAGTGAAATAGTCAAATTGTAGAATGAGTTCGATTCTAAAGACGTAATATCGCTTACTGAGCATCATTCCACGCTCTGTTAGAAGAATTAGCTTCTGATTTGGGTCAATACGACTGAGATCATCTTTCTCCATTTCAATTCTAAATCCAGAATAAACCTTATTCAAATCACAGACACCTGGAATTCTGCTGAGTTTCAAGATGTGACCTGAGCATGTTTTCATATCATTTTTAATATCATTACTGGCTATAGCACAGCAATCAACTATCTTAACATATTCTAAGATCCTTTTAAATTTTTCTTCCATTTTTGGTCAAAAAAAACATAAATTTTTACTCCCATGTCTAAAGAAGAAAAGAAGGCTCCAGAAGAGAGCAGCCATAACAGCACAATTGTAACTGGCTCAGACGAGTATGATGACTACACCAACAGCATCATTCAGTTAAAGAATGTGAGATTCGATACGAATAAGACGTACAAATACACAGACAATCTCAAGTTCAACATTGATCTGGATGTAAAGAATGACATTGAAGACGACATTAAGGTGGAAGTGATCTATTTCGGATCGTATGGATCAGAAGAAGATGAGCAAGTTCTGGTCTCTGCTGCGGTTGGCCCACTCAAACAAGGAGGACTCACTTTTGAAATTGAGACTGAGAAGCCAATTGAGCTTCACAAGATTCCACTTAAGGCGCTCTTTGGCCTGAACACGTTCCTGGTTTCATTGACGTACAAGGAATCTGAGTTTGCTCGTGTTGGATTTGTTGTCAATGTAACGTATCCTGGCGTGAATGAGAATGAGCTCATATGTGAGGATTTCACAGACAGTGGTGAATACGATACAGAAGAGGAATCAAGCGAATCAGTTGAATTCAAATCGAATGAAGGGGAAGAAGTGAAAGAGGAGGCTAAAGTCGAAGAAGCTAAAATTGAAGAAGTAAAAGCAGAAGAGGCTAAGGTGGATGACGTAAATGAGAAAGAGAACAAAATCAACAGTGAATTGGATCAGTGTGTTCCAGCAGACAAAGATGAGTTTGATTTCAAGACCCATAAAATGGTCAAAGATAAAATCGAGTACAAATTCATGAAGGATCCAATTGTGCAAATATTTGGAATACCAGGATGCGCAGAGGCAGTTGGTGATGAAGAAGTCAAGAAAGCAAAGAACTAAATTATGCTACTCATTCGATGACACATTCTGCTTGCTTTTTGCAAGCAGTCTTGATTTGTAATCTGCTATCAATTGACTCTTGATGTTTTGTATCTCATCTGATTCATTGCTGAAATCTGTTTTGATGTTAGCAATATCTGAGTGTTTATCAACGATGTCTTTAGATGATTTGGATGACTCACTTTTATCATCAGACTCCTTACTCTTCTCTTCTGTTTCACTCTTGGTGTTTTCTTCTGCCTTGGTCGATTCCTCATTTTTTGATTCAGGTTCTTCTTTGCTTTCACTTGCATGGACTGCATCATAAATTGATCCATCACTTTCTTTTTTCAGCGCATTCATTCTATCCAATAACAGTTTGCTGTGTTTTGCACTTGTTCTAGTTAAAATGAATCCAATGTGCTCCAATATCATTTTGTTGTGATCTCCTTTCTCAATATAAAACACCAAATAAATATTGGTTGTATGAAATATACTTAGTAGTATCTGGTAGCACTTCTGTTGTCAGTTAGGTCAGGCATACTATTAGCGCGCTTGTTTGTGTTGTAGATCTTCTTGAATGTTATTTTCTTGAGAAACTCGTTCAACTCAGCTGCCCTATTCAAATTCTCAGGTATTTCATAATAAATCTGAGTAGATTCATACAGGTGCATGAAGCCAGATAGAAACACGTAGATATCGACCAGGAGGAACCTATTGCATCCAAATATAGCCAATCCTATTGCTGAATAGATTGTAAGGGACTCAAGCTTGAGCCAGCCGTACCAAATGTACATTACGTGTCTGGTGGACATTGAGTAGAATACCATGGATAAGAATGCGTATATTTTGCGCTGGATTCTGCTATTTGGTGTCTCACTGGCTGCTGTGTACAACTCTTCGAGTTTCTCTGCCACTTTAGCCTTTCCCTTAAAAAGCAACAATTTGCTTCTTATCATTAGCATAAATAATGCATTAATGATTCTACTGAACACCACATTATTCGAAAGTGCTGTTGGAATAGTCGTATAGAGATACTGTACAAATGCATTAGAATAGATGACTCTACTAAGTCGTCTGAACATTGCACTATTCTCCTCAATAATCAGCTGTTCCAGTTTCATAGTCCAATTTAGACAGTCATTAAGCTTAACCAGAATAAAGTTAAATGGTTTAGAAGCCCCTGGAAAATGAGACTTAGCAAGAAGCCACTGCACAAAGCCAGTCACGATGTTTGTTACGCGCTTCTGTTTTATCAGGCTGATTAGGAAGAATATCAGATATATTCCCTTGTATACTTTTCCATAGACATATGTCTTTTGCTTATACATTATGAAGTTTCTATAGTATAGATTCTTGATATATTCGTTGTTCTTCACCTTACACTCTTTGCAAATGCGCAACTTCCTCAAAAAGTCTGCAAAGTTCGTACACCTGATTCGCTTACTGCTCTCTTTGATTTTACTGCATTTTGTACATAGATTTATACAAATTTGGTCTATTTCTGAAACTGGAATTGCTGAGACATATTGGTTGTCTTCTTCTACCTGG